ATGGAAATCAACTGCCTTCCAGACTTATATAAGATCTCCAGTTAGCCGAACATCTCCTTTAACATAATAAGTAGCTCATTTAATATAACTGGCATGCATTTGTTAATTAATATTACAGGGTTCCCAAAGCCAGGCAGAATTACAGTTTGGATTGTTGGCTCATCAATTATAAAAAGGGCATCCATGGCAGCAAGATTAAGACCGGGGGGATGGAGTCTTGGGCTAAACCAAAGAGGGGTAGATATGTGGTGGCAAGGGTATGGGGGGTTAAAATTTATTGACCTAGTTCAGAAGGTTAGGTACTTAGCAACATTAGAGGATCCTCCAAGATATTTAATCATTCACTGTGGGTCCCATGATCTGGCTCAAATTAAACTGTCAAGATTACTCTATAGAATTAAGTGGGACATCCAGTTACTTTCAAGAATCTTCACCAACACGACTCTCATTTGGTCTTTTCTCCTCCCCCGCATTTCATGGAGACACTCAAGTAACATTAGAGTAATGGGGCAGGCAAGGGATAGGCTAAACAGGTGGGCAGCAAAACAGATATTTCAAAATGGGGGGAAAATTATCACGCATTCCCAATTTATAGGTAAACCTGTACAGTTGTATCACTCAGATGGAACACACTTGTCAGAGTTGGGGAATGACATTTTCCTCAACAACATTCGGGGGCCCTGGAGTATTTTGCCAGTGGGGGTAAAAGTAAAGAATTTCCTTGTAAATAATTAACTAAGTAATTTAGTCCATAAAGTAGGTATGCCTTTTTGGCAGAGGCACAGTGGTCATCTTGAAGGTTCCTACCCCCACCATGTGGCGGTGGGCAACCTGATTGTATGTCTGCAAATGCACACATTCATCAGGTGCCCATGTGGCCATATCGTCACCTTCAAGTTGGTTGTGGAAATATGATGTTGACTGTTGTTACGTTGATGTTGATTTAATAATTTTTTCATATAGAAAGTCTAAAGTAAAGAGTTGTACACTAAATGATATGTTGATGTGTCGGTAGCATGATTGTGATCAACCCAGCATGCTACTTGCCGTTTCGGACGACACATAAAATGTTGTTGTAGGGGGTGAGCCCTGTTGTCTGGCGACCCCAAACTTGATGTTGTAAATATGTTTATTTGACCACTGTGCCCAATATCTGCCATACAATTAACAATAAACTATAAATGTGTTTTTAATTCTAAAAATCCATAGGTAATGTTACAAATACAAGCATAGGACTTGTGTACTGTATTATGGATGTCTGGGTAGGATAAGTCATTACTGTCTTTGATAATTGCATATATTTCAGCTTGTCTGTAAATATATGCCGTTATCAAAGCTTTTCTCCTCATAATTTTGCTTTAAGTTAATATTGATTGGGATTTATGTATTGTGTAAATCTAAAATTTGGTTTGTTTTGTTGGTAATTTTGTGTATCAGCCTGTTGCGTAATCCGGAAATTTCGACCGGGAATTTATAAGCATCTCGTGTATCACTCTGAAATTACAGCATCCGTACTTTCTTTTTCAATCAAGGCCTGTAACCAGCAGATGGTTTAGAAATTGAGAGTTAAAATTTTTTTAAAAATACCCTCCCAACCCAACCCCATATAATTACTTTGTTTGACTTGTTCAGTGTTTCTGCCGTTTAAGTTTTATACTTTCAGATACCATTACCTGTCTACAGACACAGGAATCCTTAGACCTACATCTCGTCACACTGGTTTAATTTGGATGCTCAACGGGAAATTGGGTGAAGCCATATCGTCATCTTCAAGTTGGTTGTGGAAATATGATGTTGACTGTTGTTACGTTGATGTTGATTTAATATTTTTTTTCATATAGACAGTTTAAATGATATGTTGATGTGTCGGTAGCATGATTGTGATCAACCCAGCATGCTACTTGCCGTTTCGGACGACACATAAAATGTTGTTGTAGGGGGTGAGCCCTGTTGTCTGGCGACCCCAAACTTGATGTTGTAAATATGTTTATTTGACCACTGTGCCCAATATCTGCCATACAATAAACAATAAACTATAAATGTGTTTTTAATTCTAAAAATCCATAGGTAATGTTACATATACAAGCATAGGACTTGTGTACTGTATTATGGGTGTCTGGGTAGGATAAGTCATTACTGTCTTTGATAATCTATAATTTTTTTGACGTTCAATATTTTATTATACATTACTGATTAAAAATGTTCATCTTATCAATATGCAACTGTACATGATAATGTTCTGTTCATACGTTCTGTATTTAGAGGCCATAAGGGACAAGATTGCTTAATATTTGGCACTTTATATCTCTCTTGAAGAAATATTTTGTTAAGCATTATTGAACAGAACAAGATGTTCAGAAAAACATTCTAAACAATGTGCAACCTTTCAATTGTCAAAAAAACGGTACCATTAAAGGCACGAAGAGCTGAACCCTAATTTTTTTTCTACATATTTAAGGAATTAAAAGAAATTTCCAAATAGATATTGACCAAAAAGGATTAAAAATATCAGAGCTTTCATTTGAAATGTCAAGTAAAAAGGGGCTGCTCCTTCAACAGAGGAGCCGAATGTCTTTAACTCTTTAATGAGCAGCATTTTGTTATATGCTCAACTTTACAATTTACAACAGTAGACTTTAATATCTTTCATATGTGACGTAATAATGGGTAAGAAGGGGCCAGAAGGTACATTTTTGACATTTTTATTAGTAAAAGGAGATATTTTTTAATAAGCAAAATCGAGAAAAAAAATAATGTTCCAAACTGTATAAAAACTTTCAATTTACGAAATGCCCGATTAAGGACTTGAAGAGCTAATTTTTAAATATGTCTTTTCTACATATCCTAGGAACAAAAAGAAATTTCTAAACATTTGTTGAACAAGTAGTGTTCAAAATTATTTTTCCGTTTGATTTCAAGAGAAAGGGACTGACCCTTTGAATAAGGGACCAAGATCTAGAGGGGCCAAGAATTTTAAATCTTTTTTTTTTGTAAGATCAATATTTTATTAGACATTACTGAAGAATTAATGTTCTTCTTAATAATCTGCCAAAATTTGTGATAATATTTAGATATAAGATATGTAAAAAGTGGTCATAAAAGGCCAAAATGCACTTAATATCTCAGAAGAAAAAAATACTGTGATGGCATGTTACAACGCGAAGTGTAATAACAAAGCAAAAGATTATTACATTTTGAGTTATTACATTTTGCGTCGAGATCAATGCAATATGTAATAACAGACTTTAGATAATTATTACATTTTGTGTCAAGATTAACGCAAATGTAATGACACAAAATTTAATAATCCCAGTTTATTATATTTTGCGTTGTTTTTACATTTCGTGTTGTAACAGTGGCATCTCCATATGAGTATAAAATTTTCCTAGAGGGACGTTAAACAGTTAAATAACAAACAGAAAAACGTAATTGAGAAACTTATCCTCGGTACAAAGATTGTTTATGAAATAACGTCCTAACCTGAACCTCAGGTCTGTGTGACAAGTTCAAGGTGGCTGGCAGAAAAAGTGAATTTCATGTCATGTCTATAATTTTGTAATGTAAAAAATTGGATGTCCATTTTTCATCCAAATATTACTTATGACCAGAGGATGTGTCTTTTTTAACCATGGTAATTCGGTACGTTCAAGGTTACATTTGCAAAGCTTCAAATATAAGCTTAAAATTTAAGCGAGGGTATTTTTTCTGAGATCGCTCGCAGTAGCTCTAATTAAAATTTGGGTATATTGTTAATGACACAACCTGGAGTTAAAAGTCAGTTTTGAAGATCAAAGACACAAGACAAAGATGAAATCGTAAAATTATGTATGAGAATATTCTGAGAACATTAATTGGAAATCTTGCTTTGAGTATATTTATACTTAATTAGTCACTATTTTAGACTGTAGGTTTCCTCCTCGTCTGTCCATCTGTCTGTCTGTCCCTTAGTCAGTCTGTCGGTCTGTCCCATTTGGTTTTCCGCACTTTTTTCTAAAGGCTTTTTGGTGTTGATGACCTGAAGGTATATCATGATATTAACTGATATTCCTATTTTAAGTATTGGTTTTGAGTATTTGGTTGTCAGTTTAATTGGATTGGTTGTGAGGATTACTGTATTGATTGTGAAGAGCAGATGCAAGTCTCTGTGTGTAAGATAACACTCGTTTTACTGTATTGGTTGCGAGGATTACTGATGTGTTGATTACTGTATTGGTTGTGAGGATCAAAATAGTTTCTGTAAGATAACACTTGTTTTACTACATTGTTGTGAGGATCAGAAGTACATGTAAGTCTCTATCTATAAGATTACAGTTATTTTATTTTATTGGTAGTAAGGGTTACTATATGGTTGTTGAGGATTACTGTATTGATTGTGAGGATCAAAAGTAAGTCTTTGTAAGATAACACTTGTTTGTGAGAATCAGAAGTAGGTATCTATCTGTAAGCTTAACCTCACTTTAATTTATTGGTTGTAAATTTACCATATGGTTGTTGAGGATTACTGTATTGGTTGTGAGGATCTAAAGTAAGTCTCTGTAAGATAACACTTGTATTTATACTGCATTGGTCGTGAGGATCAGAAGTAAGTCTCTATCTGTTAGATTACACTTATTTTAATTTATTGGTTGTAAGTCTCTATCTATAAGATTACAGTTATTTTATTTTATTGGTAGTAAGGGTTACTATATGGTTGTTGAGGATTACTGTATTGGTTATGAGGATCACAAGTAAGTCTATGTAAGATAACACTTCTTGAATGCATTGGTTGTTAGTAAGTCTCTATCTTTAAGATTACATTTGATTGACTGTATTTATTGTGATGATCACTGTTTTGACTGTGATATTTACTGCACTGGATTTTGGGATCAAATGTAAGTCTTTGTAAGATGACACTGTTTTACTCTATTGATTGTAAGGATCAGTAATAAGTCTGTTCGATTACATTTGTTTTACTGTATTGGTTGTGAGGATCAGAAATAATAATTTTCTTTTATTTACAGAGTTTTCAAGACTTTTAAATGTTATCCATTTGAGAACAACTGGCAGATTTGCAGAAGATATCCAAAAACTAATGGTTGAAAGAACAACTTCATTTGAAGAAAATCCAGATTCTACAGAAAACAGTCAAATATTTTCTTGGATTATTGCGGAATTATCAGACAGTTCTCCGCCCCTTCCATGCCATTCGCAAGATCATTTTGTTGTCCTTCCTCCCCCACCACCACATCCACAGCCCCAGAAATGCAGAAGTATGAAGTACAAATTTAACATGGATGATTTTGAGAGCCCTCCAAGAATTCACAAGAAAACAAGTCTTTTCCGCTCAGAAAGCACAGAATGCATCACTGATAACAGTGCATATAGTAAATGGAATCATCGTAATGTTTTCTATGAAAATATTTTTCAATACGATGATAGTACCTACACATACAGAGTCTATATAAATGAACCAAACTTGAGACCATACCGTCCAAGGATGAAGGTTAGAATTGATCGATGGAATCGTCTCAGCGATGAGCTGAAGGAGGTTGATCAAGAGGCAGTAAGAAGACATGGGTTGTGGTTTGATAACCAGTACAGACACAGATCCACTGATGATTCCTACAAAAAGTATGGCTTTTAGCTTTTATACTTCAAAAAGAAAAAAAAAAGATTGTTCCAAGGAGCGTTTGTGTCGTTTGTTTATAGCATCATTAATATAAAAATAGATCTTATAATTGTCGGCTATTCATTTATTAGTAGCGTCAAAGTTCATGCATTTGTCTGCAAAAAAATAAAAATAAAAACAAAAAATAAAAAATAAAAAAAAAAAATAGTGTGATAGTAAAAGATATATGATTTAGCAAGCCTCAAAGCTAATTGATAAAGATGAAGATAAGATAACGAACAGTGATCGATCTCAAAAAAATCTTAAAACAATGTTAATCTGTGTAGAGGGCAAATACACGGACCCCTGGAAATTCAAGAGGTGGGATCAGGTGCCAAGGAGGAGTAAGCATTCCCTGTTTACGGACACCCGCCATTAGCCCTATGTATTAATCTAGTAGACAGGGCATTCCGTAGTCTAGTTCAGTATAAAAAAAAATCAGGTTTAACAATTGGTATGACACAAGTCAGCCAAAATACGCCCCAGTGGAATGTTATACTTGCTTACAAGGTCGTTATAACGTCTATAGAATTTACAAAATGCTGACTTTTAAAGAGATTATTGAAATCCCTGTAACATCAACTTATCTGTCAGTAGCTTGCCTCGGTTTAAAACTTGATCATACTCAAAGCATGCTGTGGAGTATCAAATTAGTTGATAAGTTAATATGAACGAAATTGACTATTGTTTATTGATTATGCATCGTCGATATATCTAAATGTCGAGCTGAAGGCCACAGTAAGTGTATTCTTCTTCTCAGGTGGAAGTTTTTTAATAAATTCTGCTTCATAGGAATATAAAAACAGGTCATTTAATTATGGAGCACAATTAGTGCCCATCGAAATTCAGCAGTTTGTTGGAGAACCTGATCTCCGAAGACTACATAAGTGTTATCAGTGAGGAACTCCAGCATCTTTTTAAAATCAACTTCAGAGTACTTACGAGGGGCAATCAGAAAATAGTGCAAGTAATGTTATTTTATAAATATCCTTAGTAAATGACCAATATCAATGTCATGCATGGGTAGATACATTCATTACCTGTGCCTGTCTTAAATTTTATAGTATTTTATTCACTGTTTCATAAGTTATTTTCAAAAGAAGGGGTAGTCGTACATACTTACCATTTTCTCCCGGTGAAATCTACAGTGAAGGCTGAAATAGAAACATAAATAAAAGTGAAAGGCATTCTTGAATAAATCTGCATAATCCATTTTAAATGAAATTTGTCGGATTTATAGAGGTTCTGTCGTTTCCTACTTTTATTCAAGTGGAATATAATTTAAAAATTGACAAAAAAATAAGGTGTTTGTAGTACCAAATATATTTTACCGAGTCACATTCTTTGTAAAATTGTTTTGCAATTTTTTAAAAAGCACATCAATATTTATTCTTATTTTCATTTCTTGAAAATGGTGGTGGTGATGGTGGGGGGGGGGGGGGGGATTGAACCGTTTGGTACCTTTAGTTCGTCAGCCCTTAATGTGACCAAGATTTTTGAGTGAGGAATAGTATTGGACATATCTTTTACATAATGATTTTATTAAAAAAAACCTATTTGAACAGATATTTTCTTGTAGATCTTATATAAGAAAATATAGAATTTGTTTGCATGAAAGTAATCAAAATTGTTAAGATTAAAGAGTTTTTACTGTTCAAGTAATCTATTGTTGAAATATAAATATTGTTTTAATTCTATTTAGGAATAATTTTGAAAATAGAGCACATATTTAACAATTAATTTTTTATGGATTATTTCAATATTGGGTTCATTATGAGTTTCATAGTGAGGGGTGAGGGGAGGTATCTCATTATGTCATTACTTTATGATTTCTCCTAATGTCAATGACATATAAATATTTTCATTAATCATTTATTAGAAATTGTTTTGTACTTAAAACAAGAAAGGGGGGGGTATTAGTGGATCATTTGATAGCTTTATTAGCCCTCAATGTGACCAAGATTTTTTGAGTGAAGAATGATATTAGACAAATCTTTCACATAATGATAAAAAATGAAAATTCTATTGGACAGAATTTTTTTTCAGGGTGTCAAAAGTATCAAATTTGTGTGCTTGAAAATAGTCAAATTTGTTGAATTTAAAAAAAAATTGTATGACTATTCTCTTAATTTATTTCTGTTCAGACAATCCATTGTTAAAATAAATTAATAGTATCAAAAATGTTTAAAAATAATTTTATATATTGAATGCATATTGCAAAATGAATTTTGTAATGGGTAATACATGTATATATGTTGTATTATGATTTTTGGAGTGACTGGAAAGGGAGGTAACTCATTAACCCGTGGTTCCGTAATTAACCTTCAATGCCATGTTCATTTTTTCAGTAAATGTTTATAACACATTCCTTTGCGCCATGTGAAAATTTCAACAAAATCTATTGGGAGGTTCTTTGGGGGGGTTAGGTGACTAGCTACCTTAAACTAGTTTACATTTTGATACATATTGTTCTTTTTAATTTATAGATATACTTGCAGAATTTCCTGTCGTCCCTCGTATGGGTAGAATGAGTGATGTTTAACAAAGTAATTTTGTTGATGACCAATCAGTAGATTGAAAAATTTTCGACTTCCATTTTTATTGAAGAAGCAAATATAATTGCTAATAAAATTGAAATCATTAGAAATAAATATTTATTAAGGTCTTCCGACTTCCTTCGGAAGACCTTGTTGTTTTCCGTCTGTTTTTAAGGTCTTTCGTATTCACGGAAGACCTTATAGTGATTCTACTGTTTCTTCTTCTTATTATTATTATTATTTTTACTGCTCATCTAATTTTGTGCACGCGATTTCTCAAAGACTACTCGATGAAATTTAATGAAATTTGCAGGAGGAATGTGATGTAATCTGAAGTTATTTTATCCGAGAGATTTTTTGGAAAATCACTTCCGGTGCCAAGTTACCGACCATTTTATGAATTTAAAAAGACATTTTGTCAGCAGATAATCTCAAGAACGGTAAAAGATATCAATGTGAAACTTTCAGGGATTATAGATCGTAATAAATCCTAGGCAGACATGACCTTTCGTTTGTCGTCGGTACTTCCTGTCGTTACCGGATGCGAATTTAAAAAGTTGAATTTTCTAAATTTTTTGTCTTTCAATATTTTTCTTTTATATTAGTAGGGTTAATAGAAGCATTTCCAAAAAGGCCTAATATATAATTTGTTTAAAAATTGATAAATCCAAACTCTAGATATTCGCATTTTAAAATTTGAAGCGTGTCCAAAATGGCGGCTGTCTCCGTAAACTCCGACGAGCAGGTCGGCACTCGGAGCTCCTCGGGTGGCTTGTACCTTGCACACTAACCTCCAACGTCAGCGGTGTTCTATTATTTCGGGTTTAATCCCGATTATGTTTGAATTTTCTTTCTCATTTTTTTTTACCTTTAATTTACGTTTTCAGCTTTATAAATGATGTTTTTCTGTGTGAATCCTGGGCTATTTTCATTTCTTTTAAATAAATCCTTAAAAATCCTTGCATTTTTGAAGGAACTATGTTATATTTTACGGACACTGGTAAGTCAAAGTTTTCCTGAGAAAAAAAAAGGTTAACTACATGGGTTTTTTCACTTATGAAATAGTGATTGAGAGTGATCTCCCGTGTAGAATTCTCTAAGCAGTGAAAACCAATAAAACATACGTTTACAGAGGTAAACAAAAAGCATGTGTACTTCCTTCAACGGGTAGAATCATCTATACAGCAAGAAAGAAAAGTAGTAATGGCTTCGTTGTAAATTGTATTCAGGAGACAAAGAGTCAACAGGTCGTCATTTATCATAGTTATGCTTAGTATGCTGGGAAAGGCAAAGATGTGACATATGCTGAAAGGTAGACCGACTGAGATCAGTTTCTAGGTTGTATGAAGGAAGCAGCATTTAGTAACTACGAATAAAAATTGAAATAAATCCATGCCAATATTTTTATGACAATGTGTTTCAATCAATTACATGATAGAATCAATCAACCAGTCTGACTCCTTCGACCCTTATGAATAATATGTAATTATAGCTGTTAAGGGAAGTAACTCAAAAATAGAGATCGGTGCCGGTATGTCCTTGTCTTGTTTCTATATTTACATTTTCAGCTAAAACATCTAGAAGTCATAGGAAATGAAAATACAATAATATATATAAAACAAAAACCATATGAAATATATGAACAGTGAGTTTTGGAGAAATACTATGGTGAAAAATTATGTAGGTCCCTTTTATCAACATTTTACATAGGAATTAAAACTACTCAATAGATCTTGAAAAGTTCTATACGAGAAGTTGTCTGAGCAAGAACTCGAAAACGGTAAGAGATTAAGACAACAAACTTATATGAGCAACAGTCCTTAAGATGTAGGCAAAACCATTTGGGTTCAGAGCGTCAGCCGTCACTTCCAGTCGTCACAGGAAGTGATAAAAGAAATAAAAATTTTAACTTTTCTTTTCTTAATTAAAAATTGCATCACTTTATTGCATCTTTTTCGCAGATTCGAAAAATGTTGGTCCCACCGGAAACAAAAACGACAACTTCTGGTTATAAGAGAAAAACTAAATAATTTGAGTATTTTACTTTCCCATTAATATTCTTTATAGATAAAGTATTTGAAATGAATTTTAAATATGTTATTCAGAGTGCAAATGTCTAGAGTAACCTTGAAAACGTCAACTTCCGGTTAAAGGAGATAGCACGTATTTGCACGCTGACGACCAGGGTTAAAATTCCAGAGTGTCTGAATTTCTTTTATCACTTTTTCAGCTTGAATTTTCGGTTTTATTTTCAGAATCGGACTGAAGACCTCTCATTGCTCGCAATGAGTTTCTAGTATTCTTAATATTATTGTATAGACGAAATTTTGTAAAGGACCTTTGTCCGCTCCATTTTTCCAGAACAGCTTAAGATATGAAAGTTAACTCTGTCAGATATCGTAGATAATGACTTGTAGATGTCACCA